ATAGACTTCAATGGAAATGCTGCAGAAAAGCGTGTACTGCGTTTTGTTGTTCATTTTGCCATGTTATTTATGCATTTTTGCTGTGTTTTGGATGCGTTTTGTGTTTTAAATCTGCCTAGCAAAAAAAAAAAAACACAATGCAGAAACGGGTCAAACGCAAACTGCATAGGTGTGAACCTAGCCTTACCCTAGGTTTCACACCTAAGCGTTTCGCCCGGTGCGTTTTTTGGTCAGGGACTTTTTTGAATGCAAAAAGTTGCATTTTTGGTTCTATAGACTTCAATGGAAATGCTGCAGAAAAGCATGTAGTGCTTTTTGATGCGTTTTGCAATTTAAATCTGCCTAGTAACAAACACAAAATGTGGCAAAAATACGTAAAAACGCAACACACTGCAGAAACGTATCAAACGCAAGCTGCGTAGGTGTGAACCCAGCGTTACCCTAGGTTCACACCTAAGCGTTTCACCCGGTGCGTTTTTTGGAAAGGATCAGGGACTTTTTTTTGAATGCAAAAAGTTGCGTTTTTGGTTCTATATGACTTTAAAACGCTGCAGAAAAGCGTGTAGTGTGTTTTTGGTGTTTTTGATGCTTTTTGCATTTTAAACCTGCCTAGTAACCACAAAAAAAGCATCAAAAACGCAATGCAGAAACGGGTCAAACGCAAACTGCATAGGTGTGAACCGAGCCTTACTCCAGGTTCACATCTAAGCGTTTTCCTCAGCATTTTGAAGAAACGCAGTACAGTCCATTTAACATGATTTCCTATGGGACAGGTTCACATCTCCGCGTTTTTGCCAGGTGCCGGTGTGTTTTTTTGGAAAGGGTCTGGGATTTTTTTTTGAAGGCAAAAATTTTTTGGTTCTATAGACTTCAATGGAAACGCTGCAGAAAAGCATGTAGTACGTTTTTTATGCGTTTTTGCCGTGTTTTGGATGCGTTTTGCGTTTTAAATTTTGCAGGAGCCGACACCTGGATCCAAACTCGGATCCGTACATGCATGTCAAATTTTGACAAGTCTGTGTCCCTGCAGCTGCTGCATCTACTTCTATAGGCTGCCTGCATGCAGCTCCGAGGTGGCTCAGCGTGCAGGATGGGTGCCAGAGTCCTTCTAAGTGAATCGGCCCCCCCCGTCATATAACTCTGGAGTCTGTACCTCTATTTATAAGAGAAACAATCGTTCCTATTACCTCTGTATTCATTGAAAGAGAAGTAAAGTAACGCAGTTCAGTAACCCACAACAGCCAATCAGAAGCCACCGATCGACAAGTCGAACAGGCATACTGCTCTTTGTGTATCGTCTGAGTCCTAGACCCCGCTGTCTATCTCCTAGCACCAGTGCAGGACCGCAACATCCTCCTCTGCGTTGGAATTATTTCCTAGAAAGTGATGCTGATTACTCATTTCACACTTAATTACGTTTTATTTGTCTCTGCTTCCTGTGCTAACTGACCGCTCACTTTCCCATCACTTTCAGGCTGATGTTTCACCAACCAAAGGAAATGGGGTTAATCGCTATCGCGGCCCAGCAGACTCAAGGCAAAGGTCAGAGGATTTCTTTCAATTACAAAAACATGCTGTGTGGAAGTTACTGTGTTCAGGAGTTACCCGGCAGTTTTATATCTTTGTGCAGCTGGATTTGTATTTAGAACTCCACCAAGCACTGTGCAAGTAACATCACTTGGGAAAAAACTTTTCTGAAGACAAGGCCCATTTAACCTGTGTATACCCCTTCATCAGGGGCGGACTGACCATTTGGAAACTTGGGCACTGCCCGAGGGCCCGGGGTCAGTAGGGGGCCCTATGAGATGCCCCTGGTACCTATTTCATAGGCTTTTTTGAGTTTGGGCAAGGACACAAGGGGCCCCATGATCCCCTATTGCCCTGGGGGGCCCCATGAGTTGTCAGTCCGCCCCTGCCCTTCATTACTGATAGTATGACTGACAGTTACTCATGTAACACTACCAACATTGATTTTATATCATTTTTTTAAACAGCTTTTTTTGAGATTTGATAACCATTGGGTTTTATATATTACTATTTAAAGTAAAAAAAAAGACATAAAAACCCCAAAAAACTGTTTGCCTTACTTTCTGTTATGAAATACATCAAATACAATTTTTGAAAGTATGACTGACCATTACTCATGTAATACTGTACCAACATTGATTTTATATCATTTTTTTTAAACCGCTTTTTTTGAGATTTGATAACCATTGGGTGTTTATATATTACTATTTAAAGTAAAAAAGACAAAAAAAACCCCCCCAAAAACCTGTTTGGCTTACTTTCTGTTATATTTATATTGTAAAGCACTGAGCAAACTGTTGGCACTATATAAATCCTGTATAATAATAATTATAATACATCAAATACAATTGTTGATAGTATGGCTGACAATTACTCAGTCACGTAACACTGTACCAACATTGATTTTATATCATTTTTTTAAACAGCTTTTTATGAGATTTGATAACCATTGGGTGTTTATATATTACTATTTAACGTAAAAAAGACAAAAAAAAAAAAACCTGTTTGGCTTACTTTCTGTTATATTTATATTGTAAAGCGCTGAGCAAACTGTTGGTGCTATATAAATCCTATATAATAATAATACATCAAATACAATGTTTGATAGTATGGCTGACAATTACTCGTAACACTGTACCAACATTGATTTTATATCATTTTTTTTTTAGAACCATTGGGTGTTTATATATTACTATTTAAAGTAATTGTAGCCGTATTAGTGCATTTTTTTACGACAGGAACAATTGCGTACTGTCCGTGATACTTTTTTTATTTGCGCTAACATACAATTTTGAGGACAAGCTTTCGGGGAGTGTCCCCTTCTTCAGGTCTAAGCAGTACTGAAACAAAGATTTAGCAGAATGTTGGAAGAGATGTAGGGGATGGGAAAAAAAAAACAGAGATAAGATACAGCAAAAGACTTTGCTTTTGCTGTATCTTTTCTGTTTTTTTTTTTTTTTTTTTCCCATCCCCTACATCTCTTCCAACATTCTGCTAAATCTTTGTTTCAGTACTGCTTAGACCTGAAGAAGGGGACACTCCCCGAAAGATTGTCCTCAAAATTGTATGTTAGCGCAAATAAAAAAAGTATCACGGACAGTACTCAATTGTTACTATTTAAAGTAAAAAAGACAAAACCCAAAAAACTGTTTGCCTTACTTTGTTATAAAATACATCAAATACAATTGTTGATAGCATGACTGGCAATTACTTAGCCATGTAACACTGTACCAATATTGATTTTATATCATTTTTTAAACAGCGCTTTTTTGAGATTTGATAACCATTGGGATTTTATATATTACTATTTAAAGTAAAAAAAAAAAGACAACCCCCCCCCCCCAAAAAAAAAACTGCTTTACTTTCTGTTATAAAATACATCAAATACAATTTTTGATAGTATGACTGACAATTACTTAGCCATGTAACACTGTACCAATATTGATTTTATATCATTTTTTTTAAAGAGCTTTTTTCAGATTTGATAACCATTGGGATTTTATAGATTATAATTTAAAGTAAAAAAAGACAAACCCCCCCCAAAAAAAAAAAACTGCCTTACTTTCTGTTATAAAATACATCAAATACAATTGTTGATAGTATGACTGACGATTACTTAGCCATGTAGCACTGTACCAATATTGATTTTATATCATTTTTTTAAACAGAGCTTTTTTTGAGATTTGATAACCATTGGGGTTTTATATATTACTATTTAAAGTAAAAAAGACTAAAAAAAAAACCCAAAAACTGTTTGCCTTACTTTCTGTCATAAAATACATCAAATAAAACAACAGGACAGTACAAACACCCCCTCCCCCTCTCTCAAAAAAAAAGTAGTTTGGAAAGAAGATGTTCTAGATTTTGTGGTATTTATTCATATGCATATCTAGGCATAATTTGACATTATTATGACTGTGTTTGCTTCTTCTTGTGAGGGGGTTGTGGTGTTGCCTCCGAAGTGCATTGGCTGTTTTATATGAATTCTTTAATCAACATTTAAAATTATGTTGGACTTTGTCATCCGAATACGACACTCCTTTCTGTATTTCTATGCTTTTTTCGGGTAGACACCCTCAGGCAGTAGTCTCCAAACTTCGGTCAAGGGGCTGGATGCGGCCCTTTGCTTGCTTTTATTTGGCACTTGAGGCACTATTTCATCCACTGACACCAACAAGGAGGCACAATTCCTCCCAATGACACCAAGAATGGGACACAGTTCCTCCCAATGGCAACACCAGTGGGGCCCAATGACACCAACGATGGAGCACAATTCCTCCAAATGGCACCACCAATGGGGCCCAATGACGCCAATGATGGGCCCAATTTCTCCAAATGGCACCATCGATGGGGCACAATTTCTCTCACTGATACTGAAGATGGGGCAATGTTTACTCCCACTGATGCCGGGACATTTTCTAATCCCGATTGCCATGGTCCAGCCCCCCTAAAGTCTGAAGGACAGCAAATTGGCCCTTTGTTTATAAATTTTGGAGACCCCTGCCCTAAGGTGTCCCCATGAAGTGGGAGGATGGAGATAAGGATGTTAATGTGCAGGATAATGGCGGTGAAGGCATTAATATACAGACAGTGAAATGAAAGGGTTAAAAACATTTCAGATTAAAATAAATCAAATTCATGAGATCTGCTGATGCTTACACTTCACTCATTACATTTTCACATTCAGTTCCTGTGTTGTGAAAAGAAGGGAAGGGCTTTGAAATGTAATTATATTTGTGATATCTGTGATTGACTGTCACGCTGATCACAAGGCACAGAGCTACTCTGATTGGCTGTGTGCATTTTGCTTATGATTTTGATGAAAAGGAATCCACGCACCGATCTCCGATCCAAAAACTCGTTGCTGAAATGCCCTTGCAATCAACCCAGATTGGTGAAATGCGTTAGTCCTCATGCACACGGGACGTTCTTACAGCGGCTGTTTTTGGCTTTTGATATTTTTTTCTACAGCATGTTATCCTATGTGTCCATCCCCGGCATGTTATCCTATGTGTCCATCCCCGGCATGTTATCCTATGTGTCCATCCCCGGCATGTTATCCTATGTGTCCATCCCCGGCATGTTATCCTATGTGTCCATCCCCGGCGTGTTATCCTATGTGTCCATCCCCGGCGTGTTATCCTATGTGTCCATCCCCGGCGTGTTATCCTATGTGTCCATCCCCGGCGTGTTATCCTATGTGTCCATCCCCGGCGTGTTATCCTATGTGTCCATCCCCGGCGTGTTATCCTGTGTCCATCCCCGGCGTGTTATCCTATGTGTCCATCCCCGGCGTGTTATCCTATGTGTCCATCCCCGGTGTGTTATCCTATGTGTCCATCCCCGGCGTGTTATCCTATGTGTCCATCCCCGGCGTGTTATCCTATGTGTCCATCCCCGGCATGTTATCCTATGTGTCCATCCCCGGCATGTTATCCTATGTGTCCATCCCCAGCATGTTATCCTGTGTCCATCCCCGGCGTGTTATCCTGTGTCCATCCCCGGCGTGTTATCCTATGTGTCCATCCCCAGCATGTTATCCTACGTGTCCATCCCCAGCATGTTATCCTACGTGTCCATCCCCAGCATGTTATCCTACGTGTCCATCCCCAGCAAGTTATCCTACGTGTCCATCCCCAGCAAGTTATCCTACGTGTCCATCCCCAGCATGTTATCCTACGTGTCCATCCCCAGCATGTTATCCTATGTGTCCATCCCCAGCATGTTATCCTACGTGTCCATCCCCAGCATGTTATCCTACGTGTCCATCCCCAGCATGTTATCCTATGTGTCCATCCCCAGCATGTTATCCTATGTGTCCATGCACACATAGACTGGAATCAATGTTTTTTGGCTGGAAAAAAGCCCAAAACAAGTGGGTTTCTAGAGGAGTTTTTTTAGCTGTAAAAACGCTGTAATGCTGAAAAACGTGGTAAAGTGCCACAAACCAGCGTTTCTGGACTTTTTTTTTTTGGTAAAAAAAAAATGCTAAAAAACAAAAAAACACAGGAAAACGCCACTAATCGCAGCTAAATGCTAATGCAAAAAAGCTGACATTACACAGCTAACGTTACCATCTAAACATCTAGTGTGCATGAGGGCTTAAAGCAGCAGTAAAGTTTCTTGAAAAAAAATAAAAAATTTCCCCCTGCATCGCATACTAACATGTTACGAAATACTTTAAAACTAAGCCCTCCAGGGGCTCGCTGTCACTACTTACCACGCTTCCATCTCGTCCATCTGTCGGTGGGGAAGACTCTCTGCCAGCAGAACACAATAGCACTGTGGGGGGGGATTCTCCCCTCAACACTAATTGTTGATGGGGGAAATCGAGCAATTTTCTTTCCTTCAACCCGTGGTGGAAAGAATAAAATCTAAAGCTGGCCATAGACAGATCAAATGTCTGCCGATTCAGCAGGAGGAACTGAGCAAATTTTGATCAGTCTTTGGGTAGGTTGGTTGTACTGAAGTTGTTCCATCAATCGACTTCAGTACCACCAGCCTGTCGAGTTTTTTTTACACCCAATCACTGGCTGCGGCTATAGCTGCCAGTAGTGGTCAATGTATTCTGTTGGTGGGGAAGACTCTCTGCCGGCAGAACAGAATAGCACTGTGGGGGAAATTCTCCCGTCAACACTATCTGTTGATGGGGAAATCAAGCAAATTTATTTCCTTCAACCCGTGGTGGAAGGAAAAAAATTGTATAGCTGCCAGTAGTGTTCAATGTATTCTGTTGGTGGGGAAGACTCTCTGGTGGCTGAACAGAATAGCACTGTGGGGGAGATTCTCCCGTCGGCACTGACTGTTGATGGGGAAATTGAGCAATTTTCTTTCCTTCAACACATGGTGGAAGGAAAAAAAATTGTATAGTTGCCAGAAGTGTTCAATGTATTTTGTCGGTGGGGAAGACTCTCTGCCGGCAGAACAGAATAGCGCTGTGGGGGGGGGGAAATTCTCCTGTCAACACTAACGGTTGATGGGAGAAATCAAGCAAATTTCTTTCCTTCAACACGTGGTGGAAGGAAAAAAATTGTATGGCCTGCCTAACTGTGAATGGCCACTGTTTGAGTTCACGAAGTAGTACAATAAATGGTTCTCCTTCATCCTGTTGGTGTGATGTAATAAAACTGTGTCTCTGCAGGTCGCGGTGGAAACGTCTGGCTTAGCCCCAAAGGTTGTGCTTTGATGACACTCCTTGTGTCCATCCCGATGTCATCACCTCTGGGACAGAGAATTGCCTTCATACAACATCTAATGTCTTTGGCCGTGGTGGAGGCTGTGAGGTCTATGCCTGGATACGAGGTGTGTAGAATGACCTACTAGTTAAAGTGGAACAATAGAACAAAAAAAAAATTAAAAATCAGATATATGATGCAATCTGTCCATTACCACAGCAGTCCTTCTGTAACACATTTTATTATACGTTTATCCTGCAAGTAGATTCATTACTTTTTCATGTACTTTAAAGTGATATAACCGCTTCCCGACCGCCCTATAGCAGAACTACTGCTACAGGGCGGCAGGGCTGCGCAAAATCACATATATACGTGATTTTGTATTTCTGGGTACTGGGTGCGTATGCAGCGCCCTACCTGTGCCGCTATTGGTGGCTACAGGTATCGATCACCGGGTCCCGGACGGAGCTTCCCCAGCAGCACCCAGCAATCGCTGAGGAACTTTGACAGAGGAGAGGTCTGCATGTAAACAATACAGATCTCTCCCCTCTCAGCTCCAGCATGCTGCTTTGTTTTTGCTCTGCATAGCAGAGCAATACAAAGCAGCATGCCTACAATGTAAAACATACAGCACACATAGAAAAACACAACACAGCACATAGTTATATATACGTATGTGATTTTGAATTTCAGCCATTGGCAGCTTCAGCTGTCGATCATTGGGTCCTGGCTGGTGATCCATCGCCGGCACCCAGCGATCGCCAAGTACCACTGACAGTAGCAGAGCAATACAAAGCAGGGTGCTTACACAGTAAAGCACACACACAGCACACAGTTAACCCTTTGATCGCCCCAGATGTTAACCCCTTCCTGCTCAGTGCCATTAGTACAGTGTCAGTGCTTTTTATTAGCACTGATCACTGTATTAGTGTCACTGGGGATGTTAGTGTCAGAATCTGTCCTGCTATAAGTCGCTGATCGCCGCCATTACTAGTATTAAAAAAAAGAAAATTCCAGTATCTATACCGCCATTTGTGGGCGCTATACCTTTAACATAAACCCATTAATTTACACGAATTGGGATTTTTTTTTAGCAAAGGCATGTAGCAAAATACATTTTGGCCTAAATTAATGACGACATTTTGATTTTTAACATTTTTTTTACTGAACATGATTGTAAGCTCGAAAGAGCAGGGCCCTCGAACCCCTCGTGTTTGGTTTTGTTACTGTATTGTCTCATGTTCTGTCCCCCCCTATAATGTACAGCGCTGAGCAAACTTTTTAGTGCTATATAAATACTGTATAATAATAATAATAATAGCAAAAAGTTAAAAATATCTTTTTTTTTTTTTTTTTCAAAATTCTCGGTCTTTTTGTTTATAGTGCAAAAAATAAAAAATACACAGGTGATAAAACACCGCTGAAAAAAAGCTCTATGTGTGGGGGGAAAAAAGGACATAAATTTCAATTGGGTGAAGCATTGCATGACCCGCGCAATTGTCAGTTAAAGTAACACAGCGCTGTAACGCAAAAACTGGCCTGGTCAGGAAGGGGGGTAAATCCTTTGGAGGGCAAGTGGTTAAGATTTTTTTTTTTTTTTTAAATAACAAACATGTTATATTTATCTACTCTGTGCAATGGTTGTGCACAGAGCAGCTCCAATCGTCCTTCTCTCAGGTCCCCCGCTGCCTCTCCTGGCCCCTTCCTCCTGCCTAGTACCCTCAAAGCAAGCAGTTTGCTGTGGGAGAACCCAAGCATGCTCACTCCTGAGCCACTGCTCTATGTGTCCATCCGTGCACATTTACACGTGTCGTGTTTTTTGCTTCTCCTGGATGCACTTTGGGTTTTTTTCCTGCTTGTAGACACCCCTGCCACTAAAAGTCTATGTGTGCATGGACACATAGGATAACATCTAGGGGCATTTGGAAACAAAAATGCCTGATGCCCCTAAAAGTGGCTGCAAAAAGGCCCTGTGTGCATGAGGCCTGGCGGGGGAGGGGGGGGCTGCTTCACACTAAAGGTTGTTCACCTTTATACATAGAATGCATGAAGGTAAAAAAAACCTTGAGCTTTTACAACCACTTTATAGTGTATGTAAAGCCATTTTACTATTGTGGAAATAGTGGGGAATTGCGAACTGGGCCACTGCATTTTTCTTTTTTTCATCTGTATTCGCTTGCTGTTCCAAACATAGAACAGGATATGAGATATAAAATTTCTCTAAATGGAAGGGAATTCCACTCCTAGACGGTTGTCACCCATTGAAAGATGTTATAGTGTAAAAAACACTCCTCACTCAGTTATCTAAATCCTAATGACTCAGTGTAATGCAGGCCATAGACTGGTTGAAAACCGAATGTTTTAAAAAAAAAAAAAAAAAATCGGTCGTTTAATAGGCCGACGTTACCACCAACGGTAAAAAGAATCGGCCGATTTTTGTCCTGTCTACGGCCGGCATTTAATTACTTCTGACCCCGCAGAGAGCTCCGCTATTATAGTTGACATGAAAAAGTATTGCGGTTGCAACATTGTATCTATTTGTATCCATTTCGGATACAGATGTTTTTATTCGGATACAAATAGATACATTGTTGCAACCGCAATACTTTTTCATGTCAAATATAATAGCGGACTGGAATTCTCCTCCTCCTCCTCTTCCTCCTCCTCTTCCTCCTCCTCCTCTTCCTCCTCCTCCTCTTCATCTTCCTCCTCCTCTTCATCTTCCTCCTCCTCTTCTTCTTCCTCTTCTTCTTCCTCTTCTTCTTCCTCCTCTTCTTCTTCCTCCTCTTCTTCTTCTTCCTCCTCTTCCTCTTCCTCCTCTTCTTTCCTCCTCCTCCTCCTCTTCCTCCTCCTCTTCCTCCTTCTCTCATGCGCAGATTTTTTTTATCAGTAAAAAGATCGGCCAATTTGCCCATCATTGCCGGGAAAATCGGCCGATTTTTTTTTTCCAACTTCACCGATATTAACCCACTAACGGTGCGAAAAAATCGGCCAATTTTTCTTTTTTTCAGCCGAAAAATCGGCCGTTTTTTTGACCCGTCTATGGCCTGCATAAGGCCTTCCACCCCAAAAAGGCAAGTACAAACAGTAATAATAAGCCACATAAATATTAATTAAAAAAAAATTTTTAATTATGCGTGCAAAAACCCAAATTATGATCTGAAAATGAATGTTCTAAATAAATCCAAAAAGTCACTAAAAATCATCCAGGGACACTGGATGATTTTTAGTGACTTTTTGGATTTATTTAGAATTCCTCTTCCTCTTTACAATTTCCCTTTAAAGGGTAACTCCCCTTTCATAGAAAAACTATATAGCCTTTACAATTGCTAAACAAGCCACATTGTAATGTAATATCATCATAAATGACCTTTCCTCTTCCAATCTGCAGTTGCTGTCATTTTTTGTAAAATGCAATATAGCAGCCTGGAGACATTCTGTACACCGCTGGTGTATAGGATACTTCCAAAAATTAAATTTTCTGCTTGTGTGGTTGGCTCACTGATTTTCCCAGAAGTCTGCAGTAAGATACAAGTCAGATTTTAGTCACCATCTGCAATAGGAATGTCATTTTTGTTTAGATACTTGCCAAAGGGCAAACAATTCTAATATGATGCAGACACTGCAACTTTTCTCATTAGAACACTTGAGAGTGCACCAGGTGATTTGTAATGCACCAGATCCTCCCATTCAGAATTAGTATCCAAAGGACATGATGAGACAAACAGCTATTTCTTCGAGAGCAGAAACCGGAATCTTTTCTGAACAAAAGTGAAGTTATTCTTTAACCCCTTGACACCAACGTCACACAAATATGCGGCCTCACAGAACTGGGATTTTTCCGTGGGGCCGTATATTTGCGTACCTGTCTTTCTGCTGGGAGCATGACGCACAGCATGCTCCCAGCACAAAGACCGAGGTGTCACTGAGAGCCCCGGGTCCCATTCTAACGATCAGGACCCAATACTCCCAATTCTGGGTCACATGATCGCTGTGATAGCCTCTGATTGGCTATCACAGTGATTAGTCACTGTACAGCCCGACCCCTTTGTTTTTTTTTTCTCTCTCTATGAATGGGGGAGAGAGATACATTTTATCTCTCTAACTCCTGGCATAGAGGGAAAAAAATGTCTGTAAAAATAAAAAAAAAAAAATATATATATATATATATATATATATATATATATATATATATATATATATAAATAAAGATAAAATACCTAGATCAAGGTTTGATCTAGTTCAGTGCCAGGGTAGGTGTTTGGGTCAGGCTCAAAGCTCAGGATTTAAAATAAAAAAACGGTGTCAGTGTGTTTTAGGTAAAAAAAAAAAACAAACAAAAAAAGGTGCAGTATTGTTTCTGGGCTGTACTACGGGTACAAACAACAAATAACATACACATATATGGTATCACTGCGATCGCCAAGAGCTGGAAAATTTATTTTGGTTTGTTCTTTGGTGGTAGGTTCTGGTAGTAACAAGTAACACACAGCTAAATTAAAAAAAATATTTTTTTTTGTACTATTTTGAGCCAGTTTTCCTTTGATGATAAAAAAAAATCAGGAGATATCCATTACCATTTACCACCAAATGAAAGCCCAATTTGTCCTGAAAAAAAACGCGGTATAATTCACCTGGATGTACAAAGTAGTTGTGATGATATATATACAGTTTTACTAACACATGTCAACGTTGCAAAATTGTGCTTAGGCGTTAAGATTTGTTTTACCCTTAGGCCTGAAGGGGTTAAGTATTATAATACAATTTATGAAATTTATACATTTTATAAGTGTAGAACTCCCAGTTCCTCTGAGTTGAAATCACTATGATAGAGGGACAGTTGTGCAGTTGTAGCTGTTGGGAGTTGATGAACGGAACGTTAAGTGGATGTATTGAGGCCGTCAGCTGTCTTCCAGCACCTCGTAGCTCTTTCTGCTGCTGCTCCCATGTCCTAATAACTGCTAACCGTAAACCTTTGCTTTTCTACATCGGTACTTAACACCAGCATATGTTTCCCATATTCCCTAAAACCAACGACTTCCGAGCATTTACACCAGGACATTTTATATACTCCACAACTCTGCTCGTGGCTCCCATCCTGCATGACTTGCGCCTATTCATCAGTCGCCAGCGTGATGGCGGGATTAGAGGTCTTATCGTGGACAGAGAGTTCGAAATGTCAGGTCTGTTCATGGCTGGTTGACTGGAACATCACTCCGTTCTCAATCCATTACCTTTATGCACTCCCCTATAATCCGGCAAGTCTGTCTCGGCCTCCTGACGCTGTTTCCAAACCCCAGACATTTTTCCTTTAAATCTTTGTAAGCCATAAGGAACACATATCTCCGTCTCACCCATGGGGGACCCTCTGTGAAATGTTAGAACACCGACCGCTAAATGTAAGCAGATGGAGGGGCTTTTGAAGGCTACTGCAGTGGTATGGGCCCGTGGAACTGGTATAGAAAGCTCAGTTTGGCCCAGCACTTGTGGGGCGACAAATTACCAGGGTTGATACAGCCGCAACTGATGCTTTGATAGCTGAAGGTGAGAACATTCAACAGAAAACTGCACTCGATTACTATCAAAATAATTACTACCCAAAAGAAAAGTAAAACTTTCACCCTTGAAAGTATAAATACATATAACCACACACTTCTTTACACCTAAATATGTCTACCTTAAATATAAAATAAATATGAAAAATTAGAGCCCAAAAATATATGACACCTAAATAATCCAAAAAGCAAAAAAATGTCCAAAGTGTCTCTAAAGAAAAGTCTTTCCAAATCCTCCAATCCACTTGTATCCTTCTTCAATCATCCAGCATGAAATCTTCAAAAATCTTCATGAACCTCAAAAATATAAACTCATGATAGTGTATTACCCTTAAAATAGAACAAACATGCAAACTTGTGAAGAACCGTGTAACATGCCAGTTACATAATGTGTACAGAATTTATTTTTAAATCAATCCCTCAATATATACCGTATTTTTTCGCTCCATAAGACGCACTTTTTTTTCCCCCCAAAAAAGGGGGGAAAATGTCAGTGCGTCTTATGGAGCGAATGTAAAGCGGCCGGTCCGGTATTTCTGCCGCCACCATGTCAGAATATCGGGCCGGCCGCTTAGCTCTTCTCTCCCCAATCCCCCTCCCTCCCCAAAGGTACGCAGTGTCTGGTAATCTCCTTTACTGTCCGCAGTCTCTGGTTATCCCCTGCACTGTCTGCAGTCTCTGGTCATCTGTACTATGTCCGCAGTCTCTGGTCATTCCCTGTACTATGTCCGCTGTCTCTGGTCATCTCCTGTATTGTGTCCGCAGTCTCTAGTCATCTCCTGTACTATGTCCGCAGTCTCTGGTCATCTCCTGTACTGTGTCCGCAGTCTCTGGTCATCTCCTGTATTGTGTCCGCAGTCTCTAGTCATCTCCTGTACTATGTCCGCAGTCTCTGGTCATCTCCTGTACTATGTCCGCAGTCTCTGGTCATCTCCTGTACTGTGTCCGCAGTCTCTGGTCATCTCCTGTACGATGTCTGTAGTCTCTGGTCATCTCCTGTACTGTGTCCGCTGTCTCTGGTCATCTCCTGTACTATGTCCGCAGTCTCTGGTCATCTCCTGTACTGTGTCCGCAGTCTCTGGTCATCTCCTGTACTGTGTCCGCAGTCTCTGGTCACCTCCTGTACTGTGTCCGCAGTCTCTGGTCATCTCCTGTACTGTGTCCGCAGTCTCTGGTCATCTCCTGTACTGTGTCCGCAGTCTCTGGTCATCTCCTGTACTATGTTCGCAGTCTCCGGTCATCCCCTGTACTGTGTCTGCAGTCCATTGGTTCAGAATATTTTTTTTTCTTGTTTTTCTCCTTTAAAACCTAGGTGCGACTTATGGAGCGAAAAATACGGTAATTAATGATAATCAAAAATCGTGACCATTCCAACTTCAAACTACAACATACGTGATCACTCTCAAATGGTGAAAAAATAGTGAAATACACTTTGGACATTTTTTTGTTTTTTTGGTTTTTGGATTATTTAGGTGTTATATATTTTTGGGCTCTAATTTCTCATATTTATTTTATATTTAAGGTAGACATATTTAGGTGTAAAGAAGAGTGTGGTTATATGAAGGTGAGGTGGTCTATTATTCAGGCTAGATGCCTAGGGTGTACTGTCACTTTTTTTTTTTTGTTTTTATTAAAGTTTTCCAAAATAGCATAACAGCATTATATTCATTTTTCAACTGCAAATTCAAGAAATGTCCTGCAGCGCAGGTGGGAAGAGCAACAAAAAGGCAACAAAATAAGACACTGGTGACTGATGATGAAGTATTACACGTATAGACAGGTCAAAACATCAGTCAAAAAAACCCACGCAATCATTATTAGATGAAATTACCAGTTGTGGGCAATCTGAACCAAAGGAAAGCATTCCTCATTGGGTTAATGCAAGATACCCGCATGTGCAAAACAAGTAAATATATTGAAAATGACAAAAAAGTAAATAAGCGAGCGCAAATGTATATATGTGTATACAGGCAGCTGCTAGCACCTCGGGGCATAGGTAACGGTCCCAATAGAAATATGTAAATGGGTAAAAGTGCAGCGCTATAATATAAAATATGTAAATGATAATTCATATAAAATATCAATGCAAAATATTAAAGTGCTAATTAATGAAATTGTACATAAAAGTGAATAAATAAATGTCTGTATATATCTCAAATCTCATCAGCAGAAAATGAGCAGTACTAGTCCTCAGGTTAAATTGCAATACAGCCAAGTGAAAAAAATGCAGATGTGCGTATATCCACAGAGGGAATCCACCACCTCTGATGGGTGTACACTCTCCAGAAATTAAATGGAAGCAGGCATTGGTTACAATCGGTCACATCTGGGTGCAGGAATGGAGAAGCAGCCTAGGGGTTAATTCTTCAGCATCATCCATATACCAGTGGGGTGAGTATCTCTTGTCCTGGGGAAGATAGCTCAACCACAGGAGCCAGAAATGCTGGTTTTGGCAGGGGCACGCTCCCATGTCTGGTCATCTGCAGCGATCTGAGCTGGAAGTATTGAAAATGACCGTGGTTTTGCAAGATGACCCATATCCAGCAAGAAGCTGACAAATCCTCGGTAAGAAGACAGAAAAAGAAGGAAAAGAAAAGGAGCCACAGCCTGAATGCCCAGTCCCACTACCACCTCAATAGCCATTAAGCAGGGGGTTGAAGATATTGTATCCACGGTTTCCCTCTCAGACCTCGAGGAGGTGTCTCGCAAAATGTTGACCATCTTTTTGTTAGCCCCGATCCACGTTAATTTCTGTTTCATCAACGCCAAGTCTACAACTGCACTCTTCCAGGCAGCTGCATTGGCTATTTTAGTTGCCAGGATCAAGAAATATACCAAGGTCTTGAGTGTGTCTGGTTACCCCTTCAATGGGTTCATTAAATATGGCTACCTTAGGACCTTTAACTATGTTTATCATGGTTACAGAATAAATCATTATGTCATCTCTCATCCAAAAGTGCTGAACCATAGGGCATGACCACCATGTACGATTCATTGTTCCCACCTGCCCACATCCCTGGAAGCAAAGTGAAATAATGCCTCTTTTTTTGGGGCATGTGGGCATTAAAGTGTACTGAGACAGAATAAGAAAAATGTAATATATTGCAGCTTACCAGTCCCTAGATGTGGTGGCTGAATTGGTTTTCTTATTTCAGGCATTTTTCCTTTATTTTCATCTGGTGATATTGCCAGTAACACATTCCTAGGGTGACAACCCACATGGTAGAAAAACATATTTGAAATATATTTTAAAAATACTCTTCCCAAATATACAGTATTGCCATATATTTGAAATGCTACAATTCTGACCATATTCAATATATTTCAATATACAGTCATGGCCGAAATTGTTGGCACCCTTGATATTTTTCCTGAAAATCAAGTATTTCACACAAAAAAGGTATTGCATTAACACATGTTTTGCTATACACATGTTTATTCCTTTGTATGTATTGGAACAAATATAAAACAGAGGCAGAAAAGCAAATATGACATAATGTCACACAAAACCCCAAAAATGGGCTGGACAAAAGTATTGGCACCCTTAACTTAATATTTGGTTGCACACCCTTTGGAAAACATAACTGAAATCAGTCGCTTCCTATAACCATCAATAAGCTTCTGACACCTCTCACCCGGAATTTTGGACCACTCTTCCTTTGCAAACAGCTCCAGGTCTCTCTTATTGGAAGGACACCTTTTCCCAACAGCAATTTTAAGATCTCTCCACAGGTGTTCAATGGGATTTAGATCTGGGCTCATTGCTGGCCACTTCAGAACTCTCCAGCGCTTCTTTGCCATCCATTTCTGAGTGCTTTTTGACGTATGTTTGGGGTCATTGTCCTGCTGGAAGACCCAGGATCTTGGACGCAAACCCAGCTTTCTGACACTGGGCCCTACAGTGCGACCCAAAATCCTTTGGTAATCCTCAGATTTCATGGTGCCTTGCACACAGTCAAGGCACCCAGTGCCAGAGGCAGCAAAACAACCCCAAAACATCATTGAACCTCCACCATATTTTACCGTAGGTACTGTGTTTTGTTCTTTGTAGGCCTCATTCCGTTTTCGGTAAACAGTAGAATGATGTGCTTTACCGAAAAGCTCTATCTTGGTCTCATCTGTCCACAAGACGTTTTCCCAGAAGGCTTTTGGCTTACTCAAGTACATTTTGGCAAACTGTAGTCTTGCTTTTTTTATGTCTCTGTGTCAGCAGTGGGGTCCTCCTGGGTCTCCTGCCATAGCGTTTCATTTCATTTAAATGTCGACGGATAGTTCGCGCTGACACTGATGCTCCCTGAGCCTGCAGGACAGCTTGAATGTCTTTGGAACATGTTTGGGGCTGCTTATCCACCATCCGGACTATTCTGCGTTGCAATCTTTCATCAAATTTTCCTCATCCGTCCACGACCAGGGAGATTAGCTACAGTGCCATGGGTTGCAAACTTCTTGATAATGTTGCGCACTGTGGACAAAGGCAAATCTAGTTCTCTGGAGATGGACTTGTAACCTTGAGATTGTTGATATTTTGCCACAATTTTGGTTCTCAGGTCCTCAGACAGTTCTCGTCTCCTCTTTCTGTTGTCCATGCTTAGTGTGGCACAGACAGACACACAATGCAAAGGTTAAGTGAACGTCTCTCCTTTTTATCTGCTTTCAGGTGTGATTTCTATATTGCCCACACCTGTTACTTGCCCCAGGTGAGTTTACAGGAGCATCACATGCTTGTAACATTCTTATTTATCCGCAGTTGTGAAAGGGTGCCAATACTTTTGTCCAGCCCATTTTTGGAGGTTTGTGTGACATTATGTCGAATTTGCTTTCTTTCCTCCCTTTTTTTGTTTTGTCCCAATACACACAAAGGGAATAAACATGTGTATAGCAAAACATGTGTTAATGCAATACGTTTCGTGAGAAATACATGATTTCCTGGAGAAATATCAAGGGTGCCAACAATTTCGGCCATGACTGTATATATATATATATATACAGTGGGGATCGAAAGTTTGGGCACCCCAGGTAAAGATTTGTATTAATGTGCATAAAGAAGCCAAGGAAAGATGGAAAAATCTCCAAAAGGCATCAATTTACAGATTAGACATTATTATAATATGTCAACAAAAGTTAGATTTTATTTCCATCATTTACACTTTCAAAATAACAGAAAACAAAAAAATGGCGTCTGCAAAAGTTTGGGGCACCCTGCAGAATTTATAGCATGCACTGCCCCCTTTGGCAAGTATCACAGCTTGTAAACGCTTTTTGTAGCCAGCCAAGAGTCTTTCAATTCTTGTTTGGGGTATCTTTGCCCATTCTTCCTTACAAAAGTCTTCCAGTTCTTTGAGATTTCTGGGCTGTCTGTCACGCACTGCTCTTTTTAAGTCTATCCATAGATTTTCAATTATGTTGAGGTCAGGAGATTGTGAAGGCCATGGCAAAACCTTCAGTTTACGCCTCTTGATGTAATCCTGCGTGGATTTCGAGGTGTGTTTAGGATCATTATCCATTTGTAGAAGCCATCCTCTCTTTAACTTCAGCTTTTTCACAGATGGCATCAAGTTACCCATCCAAAATTTGCTGAAATTTTATTGAATCCATTTTTCCTTCTACTCGTGAGATGTTCCCTGTGCCACTGGCTGCAACACAACCCCAAAGCATGATTGATCCAACCCCATGCTTAACAGTTGGACAGAGGTTCTTTTCATTAAATTCTGTGCCTCTTCTTCTCCAAACGTACCTTTGCTCATTCCGGCCAAAAAGTTTAATTTTTTAACCTCATCGGTCCACAGAACTTTTTTCCAAAATGCATCAGGCTTGTCTGTATGTTCATTTGCAAAGTTCAAACGATGATTTTTGTGGTGAGGACGTAGAAGAGGTTTTCTTCTGATAACTCTTCCATGAAGACCATATTTGTACAAGTATCTCTTTATAGTTGAATAGTGTACCACAACTCCAGTGTCTGCCGGATCTTTCTGGAGGGATCGTGCAGTCAAACGTGGGTTTTGAATTGTTTTTCTCACAATCCTGCGAGCTGTTCTGTCTGATATTTTTCTTGGTCTTCCAGATCTTGCTTTAAACTTCCACTGTTCTTGATGACTGCCATTTCTTAATTACATTCCGAACAGAGGATATTGACATCTGAAAACACTTTGCTATCTTCCTATAGCCTTCTCCAGCTTTGTGAGCGTCAACTATTTTCAGTTTCAGTTTTCTAGAC